ATCATAGAAATAGTAAAGGTAAAGGTACCCCTGCCTGTACGGGCCAGTCTTGACAGACTCTAGGGTTGTGCGCCCATCTCACTCAAGAGGCCGGGGGCCAGCGCTGTCCGGAGACACTTTCCGGGTCACGTGGCCAGTGTGACATCGCTGCTCTGGCGAGCCAGCGCAGCACACGGAAACGCCGTTTACCTTCCCGCTAGTAAGCGGTCCCTATTTATCTACTTGCACCCGGGGGTGCTTTCGAACTGCTAGGTTGGCAGGCGCTGGGACCGAACAACGGGAGCGCACCCCGCTGCGGGGATTCGAACCGCCGACCTTTCGATCGGCAAGCCCTAGGCGCTGAGGCTTTTACCCACAGCGCCACCCGCGTCCCCTAATAATATCATAGAAATAGCTGTCCACTAAATCAGTGATTGGCTGGTTCAGCTGATTTGTTTCTGTTCTCCATGTGAGCACTTGTGTGCAAGAAATGATTATAGGAAGTGGCCTCCAGGGAAGGAGCGGCTACAATCTGAATTTAAGGACCCCAAACTACATGTTAGGAAGAATGTGCATCTTCTGCCAGTGAGAGCTACAGCTACACATCTCTTTCCTCTTATACTGCCTGTAACATTTAAAGAAGATGCCTGACTCGATGGTGTCATGTTCAGTTTTCCTATCCACGCCCCCCCCCCTGCAAAAAAGGCAGCAACTGATGAAGGGATGCTGTGGCAGGGAAACTCTGAGCATCATCTATTGTGTTATGCCTTTTCTAAAGATTACAGCCGATCACCCTTTTCCAGCATGGTTTCCTCCAGAAATTTTGGGTTACAACTCCCATCAGCCTTAGCCCAAAACATCTGGAGGGCACCAGGTTAACGAAAGTTGTAGTAGAGAGGCCCGGGAGGAAAGTCTTTGATTGGCAGCTGCCTTGCAGTCCTTATTAACATGTGCTTTGACTTCCAGACCCACAAAAACAATGTGTGTTGCAGAGGATTCTGGTGAGGGTTGTACATGCAGGCTGGTGTCCAGACCTGATGAGCTGTGATTGTACCCTAAAACATTCCCATCATCCTCCCTTGTAGCTTTATATTCCAGAGAAAGATCTGCAGTGCTGGGCAAGCTGCCTTTCAAGGACAGCTGTCAACCATTGTTCTTTTTTCATGGAGTAATCCCAGATACATCTCCATGGAACCAAGGACCAAGACAATTTGACACCATTGAGGACGATCACTTTGGCTCCCAGTGTGCCTCCTGTTTCTTCAGGAATGAGTTTAAAAATCCATATATGGTCACAAAGCCAGATCAAAGTTCAGTTGCATTTGTCTCCAGTAACTCACACAACAGAGAACATGCCTGCACATTTATCCATTTGCATGTCATAAACACTGGGTGTAGTATTCACATAACTGAGGAATAAACAGTGTCTCTTAAAATGAAATCACAGTGGTGCCAGTGTGTGTGTGTGTGATTTTTTGGTTTTAAGATTGGCACTTGCTGCCTACATTAGACACTTCAGTGAAGCAATCCTTGAGGAGATTACCATCTGTTTACAGAACATGAGGGCTTTGCAGGAACCTGCCTTGGGTAGTTCAACTGTTTCACTTTGAAAACAACCTTCTGCCTACCCTATGAGGTCTTAGTATACTACAGGAAAGAGGTGGTGGGGAGATAATTGTATGCTGCTGCAGTAACATTTCTTCTTCAAACTTCTAAAGGCTTTCATTCTGGTCAAATCTAAAGGACGTCTCCTGTGATCTATGAAAAGTATCCATGTGCTGAAAGTACCAAGGAAGATCACTTGGTGTTTGCCTAACTTCATAAGGCTATATGTGGTGCCTGGCAAAGGACCTTCCTGTCATCAGAGGTAAGGTATTATACCTATTGTACACATTGAGCAGAATGTGCTGGAAGATAGAGGTGTTTGCATCAAAAGACCTTCTGCGCTTGCCAGTTCATTTCCATCCCCAGTTAAGGTCCTGGTTTGGGCCTTCAAAGCCTGAAATGGCATAGGTTTGAGTATCTGAAATACCATCTTGACCTCCATGAAGCTGCCCTTCAACAAAGATTCTCACAGGCCCTTCTGTTCCAGATGCTGTTGCCCTCTGACATTAGGCAAATCATGGCTAACAGAGAGAGAAGGTGCCTTCTTGCTGATAGCACCAATATTGTGGAACTCCTTTCCTAGGTACTTACTATATTTTGGCATCAGATAATGGCTGTTTCATACTCTCAAGTACTAGAACCTGGGAAGCCAGGTTCTGCGTTCAGACATGAAGCTTCTAAGGTGACCTTGGGCCAGCTATCAGCTGTTCGACTAACCTATCTCATAGGGCTGTTGTGAGGGGGGGGGACCTATGTATGCCACCCTTGTGCTTCTTGGAGGAAAGATGGAATATACATGCAATAAAGAAATATTAAGCGTTTTGACTCAATGGTTTTTTGGGAGCTCATGGGTTTTATTCCCCCACTGCCTTAGTTTTTGGCATTATTAGTGCATGGACTTTATTAATTTGCTGCTTCTGCTGTTTGTATCATGTTTGTAGTATTATAATTACAGTGGTACCTCTGGTTGCGAATGGGATCCATTCTGGAGCCCCGTTCGCAACATGAGCAGAACACAACCCGCGTCTGCGCGTGTGCAAGGTCGCGATTCACCACTTCTGCACATGCGCGTGACGTCATTTTGAGTGTCTGCGCATGCGCGAGCAGTGAAACCCAGAAGTAACCCTTTCCGGTACTTCCGGGTCGCCATGGGACGCAACCTGAAAAGATTTAACCTGAAGCGTCTTTAACCCGAGGTTTGACTGTATTATAGTCCTGATGATTTTGTTAGGTGCCTAGAACAGGCTGCAGAAAAGCATGATGAATGAATGAATGAATGAATGAATGAAACCTTTTCTTTAATCCACTTCAGACAGTAGGGTGGTATGTAGGGGACATGTTTTTGAATGCTCCCCCCAGCAACACAAATAAATAGCTCCCTCCCATGAAGTAAACTAGGACATCAGGAATATTCTCTAGGATTTGTTAGTTTATTACATGTTTGGAACTTTTAATTTTGGAATGCATTTGAGAACATGGCACCCCACCACATTCTGAAGTGGTGCAGTCTAGAATTCTGTTATCTTATATCTTCATGCCTCTATCCTCATGCCTCTTTTATTTCCAGTAGCAACAGTGAGGGATGAAGGGCTAGTTAGAGGGTAGGAAGGGATGACTGAATGGCAACTTTTGAGTCCTCTTTGCTCTTCTCTTCAAATCGTTCAGATGCTAATGGAGCAGCTGAGAAGGTACAAACTATGAAGCTGAACCTATCCTGCTGACTGAAAACTTGTTTAATAGACATTACCTTCCCCAAGAACCCATAGTTGCATAGCTGCATGTTGGAGGGTATGTAGTTGCTGCAGCTCTGTGAGTGGGATGGTTAGGATCTTTAACAGAATTCTCCTGAAACTACAATCCCCATAATTCCCTGGGAAGCTGCTCAACAGAGATTCTCAGAAGTGCATTTTTGTCACCCTGGGGGCCTTTCATGCGACTATTTTGAATGCACTAATAGACAGTTGTTATCATTCGTACATAACACCTAGTCATCTCCTTTTAAGGAAAATGGTGGTTGCATCACATTTCATCTCCGCTCTGACTGATTTTTTACTCTATGCAACATGAATCATATCCAAAACATATATTTAAAGGGGAAAACACAGCTCTAGGGATTCTTTGATGGAAGCCATGGTATAAATGTGCTTTAAATGTGCATGTGACTCTGGTCACGTATTACATAATGCCTGCAGTGTTACTAGACATAGCCACTCTCCCCATATGTCTGCAGGTTTGTGACCTTTTGTTCTGTTTGCAAATATTCCCTCCCAACCCCATGCTTCCTCTTCTGTACCATCCCACTGTGGGTGTGTTTATGTAGCTCTTTAAAAAATGGTGGGCCACTTTGAAGGCTATGGAGGGACTGGAGCAACCCCCCTCTATGAGGAAAGGTTATGATGATTGGGCCTTCCTTAGTTCTGGGGGGCGGGGCGGGGAAAAGGCAAGTAAAGGGGCACATTATCATAAAAATTATGCATGCTATGGAGGAAGTGGATAGAGAGAAGTCTATCACCCCTCTCTCATAACATTAGAAGCAGGGGATCATCTGGTGAAGGTCAATGGTGGGAGCACAGGCAAAAGGAAGTACTTTTGCACAGAGCCTATAGTTAAACGATGGAATCCACTGCTACATGATGTGTCAAAGGCCACCAACTTTGACAGCTTCGGAAGAGGAATACAAGGAAATCAAAGGCATGGAGAAAAAGGCTATCAGTGGCTACTTATGTTGGCTATGTTCTACCTCCACTATCAGAGGCAGTCTGCCTCTGAATACCTGTTGCCAGGGATCACAAGCAGGCAGGGTACTGTTGCACTCATGTTCTGATTATGGGTCTCCCACAGGCCTCTGATTGGCTGCTGTGAGAACAGATGCTAGACTAGATGGACCATCAGCCTGAACCAGCAGGGCTCTTGTTGATGCCTAGCCATTATTGCAAACCTATTTCCTTTGAAGATGTACACTTTTAGTCTCCTAAGCTGGAGAACCTATTTGTTCTTATTCCATTTATTAAAAAACCTGTAAACGGCAACCATCCACCCCCCATAAACACACAGACCAAGGCTATCCCTACCTATTACACCTGAGGACGGACAACAGTACTTCACAACTGCTGTTGGCTTTGGACTAGTAAGACTAGAAATAAAATCTTGGAAGTTATATTGTGTGGTATTAGATAGTCTTTGGACTGCGCCAGAGCTGTCCTGGTACCCGAAGCAGAGAACTGAAATTACAGCAATTAACAGCAACATACACAGGTGATATGTGGTACCCTACAATGGTACCCTAAAGCTGCCACATGAAGCAGCCACCTGAATCAACCACCTAAAGCAGCTCTGTCACACTGTCTTGCACACTGGTCAATACAAAGAGAGGCATCATCTTACCTTCCCATTCAAATAATAGTATCCAATCTTACCTTTCCAATTAAGGCGGCGAATTGGTTATTGAGTGTCCTGATTTCATCTTTCTCCTTGGTCTTTATCTCCTGCAAGGAGGGATCTATATCCAGGTGTAGCGGAGTCAGGAGCCGTTTGTTGACCGAAACCTTTGGGTAAGAGCAGCGGCTGTGTCCGGTGAGGCTCGAAGAGCTGAAGTTGTTCCTGCTGGTGCTCACCCCCATGGTGGGGCTGCTGCAGGCCCCATACCTTGAAGAAGGGGAGCACGAACGCTCTCTTCGCATGCTAAAAGAGCCTCCTGGCGAAGCGAAAGAGCTGCTGTTGCTACGGCTCCGGAAGTCCCTCGAGTGGCTAGTCATTGCGGCTACAAGGAGGCCGGATGAAGCAGTAGGTACTACGGAGAAAGAGAAGAAGCACACCAGGGAGCAGAGCAGATTTCAATTCCTGTCTGCGCTGAGCTCAGTTTAGCTAATGAATTACAAACACCTGTTCTGCTATGTTCATAAAGTAAGGAGGGTGTGACTGTTGATGTAATCCAGATCAACCTGTTGGCTTTCTCTCTCCCCCTCCCTTCCTCCTTCCCGCCTGCCTTTTGTAGTTTTGTTTGTGAGGTGAGCGCACATGCACAGGCACTTGTAGTTGAAAAAGAAAAAAAACAACTCAAAGCAAAAATTACTCACTTTACAACCATCTAGATGCACACACAGTGAGGGTGGAGAGGATTCCTCAGTCTTAAATGGAAAAAGAGAGTTTTGGAAGGTTGACTGAAAGATCACACAAGAGCAACCGGCCGAGAGTAGAACATGTCAGGATGTTTTCTCAATTATGACCCAAACCCCGAGTGAATCGAAAGAAACATGTGGTAAAACTATACACTGATTAAGGAGTGATTTAACATTTCCAGTTCATTCCTTTTCAGGCTGTTTGAATGCTAAGAGATATCGCAAGGGCCTTCTATCTCCTTTTGTCTAGTAGTTAAAACAAGGCGGTTGTGAGTTCATTTAAAATGCAGCAAAGTGAAAAGTAAAGAATCATTCCATGCAAGGGTATGGATACTAACCAGTGCTTTTTTTTCTCGGGGGGGGGCGGGGGTGGACGCAGGGTTACGCATACCCCTAAACATTTTGTGAATCTAAGTTTGCTTCATTGAGGGGCAGTATTTAATTATGAGTAGGAAAATGAGAGTACCCCTAAACATTTTTTTTGGGGGGGGGCAAGCACTAGTACTAGCACACAGCCACATGCCAACATATACTAGGGGTGCTTGGGGAATTCAGTCTCTGCAAATGCCAGTACAAACTGGCCTGAGTCGCACCTCTTGGACTAATGTGCAGATTTTGCACTTTTCCAAATATTGCGATGATAATAATAATAATAATAATAATAATAATAATAATAATAATAATTTATTTATACCCCGCCCATCTGGCTGGGCTTCCCCAGCCACTCTGGGCGGCTTCCAAAAGAATATTAAAATACTGTGATACATCAAACATTAAAAGCTTCCCTAAACAGGGCTGCCTTCAGATGTCTTCTAAAAGTCTGGTAGTTGTTGTTCTCTTTGACATCTGGTGGGAGGGCGTTCCACAGGGAGGGCGCCACTACCGAGAAGGCCCTCTGCCTGGTTCCCTGTAACTTGGCTTCTCGCAGTGAGGGAACCGCCAGAAGGCCCTCAGTGCTGGACCTCAGCATCCGGGCAGAACAATGGGGGTGGAGACGCTCCTTCAGGTATACTGGACCGAGGCTGTTTAGGGCGATGCATTTTTGGCTCAATTAAAGTGTCAAAAGGCATTTTAAAAAATAGTAATATGAGAAATATAGATTAGATATAGATATATAGATATAAAATGCACATAGCAAAATGCAAAGGCTAACCAAGAGTACATATTGTAGTGCAGCCCGCCACAGCACTATGTAATACTTTGGCTTGTGTAGTGCACTTGCCACAATTAGAAGGTGCTGATTTTTCTGGATGAAGATGCCATTTCCATCTCATGCATGTGATTTCAGCGGCCACAATCTGGCGCACGTCTATGCCCACATCTCTTCCTGTTGAAATTAGGTGGTTTTAAGTGGGTCTAACTCTGCACTGAGTTTGTGACCATAAGCAATTAAGTCATATCCTCCAACATTTATTTAATGAAAGTAGGAACACCCAGTGCTATTTTTCTAGAAAAAGAAGTGCTGCAACTCACCATGAATGCTTGTTGTCTTATAATGGCAGCCACCTGAAAGGGGCCAGAATTGAGTGTCTGTCAGCTCCAGATGAAAAAAAAGCCCTGGGGAAATCCTGTTCCATACCCTCCAACTTTTCTCAGATGAAAATAGGGAAAAGTGGGACATTCTGGGGTTAAAACAGAAACCAGGACAGCTTCTGTAAATCCAGCATTGTCCCTGGAAAATAGAGACCCTTTGAGGGTCTGTTAAGTGCTTAGAGATTATTAAGGGGGACAGTCAATTACACGAAGAGTAGGCCGAAACAAAGCTACACTATGTTGGGGAAACTAATCTCGTTCCGTCTAGCCCTTTGTAGTATAAGAAATATATGTAATTATCTGTTTACATTCACTTCACTGCTGTGGTATTTAAGGGGAAATGTCTGCCAACACTTATGAAGTGGCTAGGAAATATTTAAGAGGAAAACAACTATTAGGCGTATTGCTGAGGAGGAGTGTGAACTGGTTCCTCAGTTGGACTGGCCTCAGTTTGGGATGTTCCAAATTAATTTGGTAAATTCTTATGACACAGGACAAATATTATTTGCACTGCTTATTCCTCTGGGCACTGCCATTCCAGCCATTTATTTCATATTTGCAGTTTTAGGCATTCATTTTTGTGTATCATCACAACATCCTGCTGGAATTGAACATATCCCAATGCCCCCCACCCAAGCATAGCATTACATGTTTCCCCTAAAGTGGGGGGGAAAGTATAGTAATGACCAGTATAGTCACAAAAATTGGCTGTTTCAAATCTGGTTCAAAGCAAAACTCATCAGTAAGGTTGGCGATTCGAATCCTCGCGATGGGGTGAGCTCCCGTTGCTCGGTCCCTGCTCCTGCCAACCTAGCAGTTCGAAAGCACGAAGTGCAAGTAGATAAATAGGTACCGCTCCGGAGGGAAGGTAAACGGCGTTTCCGTGTGCTGCTCTGGTTCGCCAGAAGCGGCTTAGTCATGATGGCCACATGACCCGGAAGCTGTACACCAGCTCCCTCGGCCAGTAAAGCGAGATGAGTGCCCCACCCCAGAGTCATCCGCAACTGGACCTAATGGTCAGGGGTCCCTTTACCTTTATGTGATGCTTCTTGGCAGTGTGGCTTACTATCATGTCTCCTCTGCCCCAGTTTGGTTCATCACTGTTTTATTTTCACGGGCAGCCATAGTAAGTTGCCTTTTTTTGCTTTCACTTTAGACCAAGGGCCACTGAAAATACTGCTGCAAGCAGTGATCAAGGAGTTTCATCATGGCGACAATAAGAGAGCTTTGATTTCTTTGTTATGGCGGCTGGAATGACAAAAAAGTAGCCACATAAGTATTTGATTGTTTTGAGCATCAAGAGATGTCTACAGAAGGGCACAATCCAGCTCGATCCTCAGTTACCATACATATAGAGCAGGAGTTAGCAAACTTTTTCAGCAGGGCGCCGATCCTCTGTCCCTTAGACCTTGTGGGGGGCCAGACTATATTTTGAAAAAAGAAGAAAAAGAACGAATTACTATGCCCCACAAATAACCCAGAGATGCATTTGAAATAAAAGGACACATTCTACTTATGTAAAACCCGCTAATTCCCAGACCATCTGTGGGCTGGATTTAGAAGGCGATTGGGCCGGATCTGGCCCTCAGGCCTTAGTTTGCCTACCCATGATATATAGAGAGAGTGAGAGAGAGAGAGTGCAGGTCTCTGCAAGACTGAAAAGCCAAACCTATCAGATTTCAGTGCTGCTGCCCTAACCATTGTTCATTGCATTGGAAAAGTATGCAAACCCTCACAGTTACCAAAGCTTCTTTGAAAAAATCTTACTAGCTAGCCAGGTCTCCCACACAACTGAAAAACCAATCTTACCACTTTTTGATTTTATTGCCTTTTCTACTATGACACTACTACTACTACTACTACAACAACGGCAGTATCCAACTAGCACATCCTATCAGTGCAATGATTTATTTCCATTTGTACAACAGAACTTGCCCTCTTTTCTTCTCCCGCCCCACACCTGCCCCACACCCTCCCCACATCTACTCTGGAAGCTTGGGAGAACCCTGAGAAGAGATTTAGGGAGCTCATTGGGGGAGGTGGGTTAGTTCCATTGTGCAAGCAGAAATCCTTGCGCTGACAGAACAGGGTGCTCGCACTACTTTGAATACAACCCTCAAGTGAAGATCTGCAAGAGATATTGTACCGCAGATCTGTACAACAGATCGTAGATGTATGTCAGCTTTTTTAAAGGAGCACAAGCCCTGTTGCACTATGAAAACAAAATTTCAGGTGCTGTCATCCCACCATCCACAGGTGCTGCAGGAATTAGACATGTGGACAGATGGCGGCAATTGCACAACACTACATTTTCTGTGGGTGTACAATTCCAAAAGCTGCACTTTGTGATTTCTGTGCATGCTCAGTGAGGTGAAGCAGGTGGAGAAATGGAAGGGTCTTTGCATATACAAAGTATATTTACCACCCAGTGGTCTGAATGAGATACAGAGGATGTTAATCCTTAGGGCCAAATTCAACTAGTGGGTCATAGTGGTGGAAGCCAGCACAAGGACTTCCAATAGCACAGCCAGGCTCCCTCCCCACCCCCACTCTTCCCCCCATGGCCTTCACATATTTCCCCAAACTAACTTGGGGTGTGTGTTTGGAGAACCAACAGAACAGCTTCCAGGGAGAGGAAAGGGGCATTCATTGCTTCTGGCAAGTGGAAATTCTTGTGCTGATGATTCCACCATAGCACCATGTTGAATTCCTCCCATAAAATTCAGAAGTGTATGGAAGCTTCTCCCTCTATCCCAGATTCTGATTAAAGCAGAATGAGAAGGAAAAGAAATTGGCACAACACTTCCCTGTGAAAACACCCTTTCAAAACTGGGCACATTATTTTTTTGTGTATGTGTGTCTTGCCAGTTTGAACTTGCAGAGAAAGGAGGGGATTATCTCTCTTTTTGCAAAACTATGGCCCAAAGCTGTCTTGAACCAATTATAATTAATACTCATTGCAAGTATCTGACTGAAGTTTGGCAGACCGATAGCTTTCCAAAAGCAAGCATGGTTAGCCATTTGTGGCTTGGCACCAGCAGAAGCCCTGCAAAGCAGCACTTATGAAACAAGGTCAGAAGGCCAAAGTGGCCAGGCCTCTTGTCCCATAATGGGTCCTTCAAACTGATAGCTCCAACAATATGTTAATAAACAACATTGATTTTTACTTTTTCCTCAAGAAAAACCCACTGCCCCTCCAGTTCACAAGGAGACCCTCTCTGGATTTTGAAGAGGATGTCCTCTTTGGGCTCTGGGAAGGGTCTCTTCTAGAGCCTAAGGAC